GATGTACCAAAAATGTTTCCTGCAATTTTGTCAAAGTGCTTCAATTACTATTTTACTACAAAGTATTTATTTACAAACATGTATTTAAAATTTTATATGTAATGTTATGAGAATTAAATTTTTAAAATGTGAAAATATCTCTTAAAACTTGTTTTAAGTTAGAAACTGTAGCCTTTAGGCAAATAACAAACTGGTCAGCTCATTCAACTTTCCTCAGTTAGAATTTGGCTATTTGAAGAATTAAAATTGTTTGTCATAAACTTCTTCTATTGGTTATTTTCACAATTTATGATGGCATAGTGGTTAAAAAAAGGGGCAAATGAGCTCATGTATAGGGTCAAAATCTGTACTTTGTCAGTAGTGGTCTTTCGAATACCCCCATAACCCCCCTGACTATCTTGGTCTGTTTTCATGCAGTTTTACAAGCTTGAAGATATGATCTGCTGAAGGTCAAAACGAGCATCAGAATGGGGAAGAAAAATGATTAAAGTGACTCGGTCGAGAAGATTCCCCAACCGGGCAGAGACTCATAATACATCAACAGTACATGAATAATGGTGCACTAATATGTAAATTAAACATTATTTCATTATGAACTAATGATGAGTTAAGGCATCATGAACTAACTACATGTAACCAAGAGAAGCTCATGACCTGTTAATGTAGCTTTATGTCATCACTTTTTTTTGGCATATTATCAATACCTATTTCTTAATTATTAATGAACTCCTATGTTTATGCATAACACTATATGCATGTTTGTCAAGTGTATGTTCAGTCTATATTAAAATGAACAGTTTAAACACAGGAGTTAAGTAGTTGAGAACGAGATAATGATAATGTGCCCCTCTAAGTAAAGTCATAACATAAAGATGCAGTAACATATTAATAAGCAGCAATTATAAAAGCTAAAGCACACTTAAAGAGATACTTCACCCAAAAATGAAATTGTCATCATTTACTCGGTCTTTTTAAGTTTCTTTCCGCTGTTAAACACAAAATAATATACTTTGAAAAATGTTGAAAACCTGTAACTATTAATCTTCATAGTAATAGTTTTTCTACTATGGAAGTCAGGGGTTGCTTTCAGCACTCTTCAAAATATCTTCTTTAGTGTTCAACAGAAGAAAGTAACTCATAAAGGTTTGAAACCACGTGAGGGTGAATAAATAGTGAATAAATTTTCATTTTGTGGATGATCCTGAATGCAACATGCTGTTGCAACTGTCCTCAGATACAAAATTAATTTAAAAGCTTGCCATATTAACAATGTACAATTTTAATTTATTACAGTTTTAATGTAATTTAATTTCAGAGAATTAATTACTTAATTTGATTTATTAATTCATTTTAAAGTTCAATGAAATAGTTTAGTAGTTCAGTGTAGATTTTCAGTAAAGATATTTTTGTTCATATTTTTTTTTGTAGGCTTGATAATTGACCAAAGCCTGATTGTTTATTGTTCTTTTAATAGTCTGTATTTATGTGGCCAGTTTAACAAATTTAACCAATTTACATTTAGTCTTTTTACCAAAAAAAAAGTAAATAAAATCCAACCAAATGTTTTAGAATTTTTTTCCAACACATTTCAATGAATGTTGCAACTGTCCCCATGGGTTGTTGTTGTTGTAACCATAATCTGTCAGTTGCAACATTTAACTTTGTCTGATTAAATTCGGCATACATTATCATATGTACAAATATTGTAACAATGTGTATTGGTATCTGATAGATGTGGATTTATTATATTAAAATTTTGGGTTTCCACTCAAAAGAAAATGCAAAAAGTGTTGCATCTGTCCCAACTTTCTCTTAGTAGTGTTCCAACGTCTGCAGCAATTGCGAAACGCAAAAAGACCATTTTTATAACAACTTCTAGGAAAAATCTGACATTTTAATGCAGTCAATTTATCAATGATGCAGTTAGATTCAGATTAATGGAGGTCAGAAGAATGCAGAATTTCCATTACTGCCCATTTCCCAAGTGACAAATGAGAAACGCAAACATCCTCGAGGAAAGATGAGCTTAACCAAACGAAAGTGGCTTCAACTGACATTTTTTATTGTGAGGAGCATCAGTGTGTATAATTGGAGCCTTTATTGTGGTTGGACAGCTGAGAGACGGCAAAGGCCATCAACAGCTTCCTCGCAATTGTCCAGACAACGGCGAGGTCGTGATTAGTCGTTCAGACGATCATTAGTGTGCGGTGAAGAGCGTTTCTGTCACCTGTCCGGCTCTGTTAAGTGACTGCTTAAAGAATAGGCTGTTTATGGTCAGTCACCTCAAGATATCGGTCACAGTCTGTAATAAATGTGCTTTTTTGGACTGAGAAAGATTTTGATATATACTTTTGCACAGAGCCCATGGAGTAACTAATTTCTAACTGTTAGAAACTATTCTACTGTTCTAACTATCTTTGCCCTGATGACTACACAATATTTAACTAGATACTTTTAAAGATACTATAGTATTCAGCTTAAAGTGACATTTAAAGGCTTAATATTGACAGTAAAATGGTTTCAAAAATAATTAAAAACTGCTTTTATTCTTAAATAAATTAACACTTTTTTCGGAAGATAAAAATTATGTTATATGAAATATTTTGAGAGGGGGGAATCACAATTTTGACTTCGACTGTATTTAAGCTAAAATAAAGTCAATATTGTGAATTACAATTCAAAATAACGTCTTATTAAATGTAATTTATTCCTATGATTTAAAATGAAAATTTCAGCATAATTAATATGGGCTTCAGTGTCACATTATTCATTCATTTTCATGTGCTTTTCCATTACTGTGATGTGGAAGCAGCAGTCTTAGGAGACGACCCCAGACTTCCCTCTCCCCAGACACTTCCTCCAGCTCCTCCGGGGGGATCCCGAGGCCAGCCGAGAGACATAATCCATCCAGCGTGTCTTGGGTCTTCCCTGAGGCCTCCTCCCGGTGGGACATGCCTGGAACACCTACCCAGGTAGGCGTTCAGGAGGCATTTGAAACAGATGCCCGAACCACCTCAGCTGACTTCTCCTGATGTGGATTAACAGCGGCTCTACTACGAGCTCCTCCCAGGTGACAGAGCTTCTCACCCTATCTATAAGGGTGCACACTGCAACCCTTCAAAGTAAACTCATTTTGGCCGCTTGTATCCAAGATCTTGTCCCCTCGGTCATGACCCACAGCTCACGGCCATAGGTGAGAGTACATAGATTGAGGGGTAAATCAAGAGCTTTGCTTTTCGGCTCAGCTCCTTCTTTACCACAACAGACCGGTACAACAACTGCATGACCAATCAGACAACTGTCAATCTCACGTTCCATCCTTTCCTCACTTGTGAACAAAACCCCAAGATACTTTGAACTCCTCCACCTGTGGTAAGGACTGGGGTAAGTCACATTATCTTTCAGAAATTTAAAAAAATTTTGATTTGCTGCTCAATTTTGGTGAATTAATATTGTTGTTACTCTATTATTAATTATGATTCTTTGAATTATCAGTGTTCCTGCTTTATACATTTGTTGATAAATTTGACTCTTTTAGAATTCAAAAATGGTTTAAAAGCATATAAATATAAAAAAGTATATATTATTAACTTATAAACATTTGAACACATTTGAAGAGTTCAGATGCAAAAACCTCTAAATGCCATCTCAAAATTTCTTCTAAAATCAACTTTTATGGCAAAAAAATTGGTTCCTTGCATTGCCTTTAAAGTGAAATAACTGAACAAAAATATTGGAGGCTGAGGAAAAATGCTCATTCTAGGAGAACATTTCAGATGGCACTTGGAGGTTTTTTGCATCTGAACTCTTCATTTGTTTGTTTTCAAGAGTTCGCCCTCAGCTGATGATTGATTATAGAGCTTGTTTGGCATGCTGTCCCGGGAAAGAGCCTTGAGATCTTCAAGCCCGGGGCTCCCTCCCGTTGCAGGGCGAGAGGGCAGTCCGAGTTCAGGTAGGTCTCGAGAACTCCCCTGCTTGATAATGTTGGAAGTAGATAAATGCTATGAAGTGTCTATGCTGTCAATTTAGATTTGTCAATTTGCTTATGTTACATGTTTTTGGTCTGTAGGAGGAAACCGGAGAGCCCGGTGAAAACCCACGCAAACATGAGGAGAACATGCAAACTCCGCACAGAAATGCCGACCTGGCCAGGAAGTGTTCGAACAGGTGACATTCTTGCTGTGTGGCCGTAGTGCTAACCACTAGGCCTCCGTGCTGCCCTGACAAGGAAATGGGAGGAGTAGGGGTGGAAGGGGGATTCTTCAAGACGAAGATGGCTGAGGTAAGATACTCTGGTTATTCATAGTGGTTAAGGAGTCGTCTGATTGGTAAATCAGTGTTAGCTAATGTGGACCAGGTGCTATCAATCATAAGCACGTGCTCCTCTCGAAATTAGTTTATAAATAAACTTTACTTAAATGTCTTTACTTTCAGTCTTGAACAATTTAATGTGTCCTTGATGAATCTGATTATAGGTATTGTTGAATAGTCCTTTGTCACAGTTTCCATTAAAAATATGAAGCAGCCCAACCGTTTTCAACACTGATGATAATAATAATAAATGTTTCTCGAGCAGCAAATTGACATATAACAGTGTTTTCTAAAGAACCAAGTGACATGTGACACTGAAATCGTAATAATAGTTTACAGTTTTAGAGTTTTTACTGTATTTTTGATCAAATAAATCCAAGTGATACTTACTGCAGAGCAACATGGGCAGAGCGAAGCTCCAGCAAGGGGAAGCTTGATCTCCAGCTCCTCCTTGCTGCACTCCTTCTACAAGTGTTGTCACTGGGAGTTAGGGACAGGGTGTACACATTAAAACAGCTCAATGGAGGTGAGCTCCACCCAAGTGGCTCTGCAGTGTGCACCCTCTCAATAAATGTGGCTTTGCTGAGCGAAATGTGTATTTTTTTTAAAACACATACACAATCTTATTAACTCCAAATGTTTACGCAGCAGTGTAGCACAGTGTAATGCATGGTAAAGGATTTCATCTGTCAAATGATATGCAAAACAGTCATTTTTTATAAACCGCAGAAAGCCCAACAAGTTCAAGTTTATTAAATATTATCATACAATTGTATCATGACTACAATGGCTGCCAGTAAGATGAGTTTATAAAACAACAGCTGAAAATGTACAGAATGAAGACACTCGGGTTATGTGTATTTCATATATCGACATAGAAAAATATAACATGCTTATTGATATGTTGTTGACTAAAGAGGTTTGTATCTGATGGAGCCAGTTGTTCAGCTTCAAATCACAGTCTTTTAGCCAGTTTGTCCTCAGCTTTCGTCCTCGTACTGCATTCTTAAAGCCCGTAACAAGTCCTCAGCCTATAAATAAATATAAATATTATAAAAATATATCAAATATATAATAAAGCATAGAGATGGCTAGTATTAAACTTGATATTATAGTTACTTGATATTAAGCACTATTCGCCAAGAAACTTAAAGCTCGATGTCTGTGCAAAATCGTAATCGTTTGCTAGCGCACATTATTATTATTTAGGTAAACAATTAATATGTGTAAGTTAATCTACTGATAAAAGTTTTTTTTTTTTTTGGTCATCTTCAGTCAAAGTCTGATTTTTTGCTTGTGTGTTTTAAGCGGCTGTACTTCTTTGTTAATGTCAGTTTGGTGACACTATTCTTAACCGCACTCTACACCGTTAGTTTGCTAGGAGGGAATGATGCGCAAAAAGAAAGCACTGCCCTCTACTCAATATTCCATTCTGGAAGGACATCAACATACTGAAATAAAAGTCTTAGCAACTTCTGGTTCACACAGACTTTAACTTAATCTTAAAATAAAACTGATTAAACCCCACACTCCTATAATAAATAAAAATAAATAAAAATAGCAATACATTTTATATATATCAGTATACACCTGACAAAAGTCCTGTTGCTATCCAGGTTTTAGGAACAACAAATAATAACTTGACTTCTGGTTGATCATTTGGTATTAGAAGTGGCTTATATGAAAGGCAAAGGCCTCTAGATTACGCTTATTTTACCAACATAAAATATGATCATACCTTGATTTTAAATTATTTAATTAGGACAGTAAGATCTGACTTTGCTTAGGCAAAAGTCTTGTCACTTAACAGAAATAATGTACAGTATAGAATATAAAGTCATGGTGCAGTGGAAAAAGAATTAATATAGTGTATGGCTCCCATGGGCTTGGAGGACAGCATCCATACATCTCTGCAATGACTCAAATAACTTATTAATAAAGTCATCTGGAATGGCAAAGAAAGCGTTCTTGCAGGACTCCCAGAGTTCATCAAGACTCTTTGGATTCATCTTCAATGCCTTTTTCTTCGTCTTACCCCAGACATGCTCAATAATGTTCATGTCTGGTGACTGGGCTGGCCAATCCGGGAGCACCTTGAACTTCTTTGCTTTCAGGAACTTTGATGTAGAGGCTGAAGTATAAGCAGGAGCGCTATCCTGCTGAAGAATTTGCCCTCTCCTGTGGTTTGTAATGTAATAGGCATTAAATGTCTTGATACCTCAGGCTGTTGATGTTGCCATCCACTCTGCAGATCTCTCACATGCTCCCTAACTAAATGTAACCCCAAACCATAATTTTTCCTACACCAAACTTTACTGATTTCTGTGAGAATATTGGGTCTATTTGAGTTCCAATAGGTCTTCTGTAGTATTTGTGATGATTGGGATGCAGTTCAATAGATGATTCATCAGGAAAATCGACCTTCAGCTACTTTTCCAAATGATCAACTAGAAGTCAAGTTAGTATTTGTTGCTCTTACAACTGGGATCGATGACAAGACTTTTGTTGGGTAGGGTATATTTATATTACATCAGAACTGCACTCATGTTCCGTCTTATGTTACAAAAATATATATTAAATTATAATACTATCATGTACTGCATGATATTTACCTTTAAACAACTTAATATAAAATATATTATGCCAGAACCACCTGTATGCACTTTACACGATTCTTGCATGCATTTATGCATTTGCATATAAACCATGTTAATAATTTATATATAAATGCAGATTTTAAGTTTTCCAAATACATGCAAAATGTACTAGATACTTTTGGCTTCCTGTAACATTGGAATTCTTTTTCAAATATTTCCCAAGTGCAGTTTAATGGAAAGAGTTTTTTTATCATTATTTTATTAGGGATAGTTCACACAAAATGGTTAATTCTAACTTCATTCACTCACCATTTATTTGTTGTTTGAGTTTATATTTTTGTTGAACACAAAAGAAGTTATTTAGAAAAATGTTAGAAACTGGTAACCATTGACTTCCATTTTAGTTTTTTTCCTACTATGTAAGTCCATAGTTACTGTTTTTTAACATTCTTCAAAATATCTTCTTTTCAACACAAAAAAACGAGTTTATATCTGTTTGGAACCACTTGATGGTGAGTAAACTGCTTAAATGTAATTTTTTGAGTGAACTATCAGTTTAACGATGCAGTTAAAGGGAAAGTTCACCAATTTTTTTTTTGTCTGTCACCGTTTAATCTCCCTTCACTTGTTTCAAACCTGTTTGAGTTATTTCTTCTATTGAACACAAAAGAAGTTAGTTAGAAAAATGTTGGAAACCAGTAACCATTGACTTCCATTGTAGATTCTTCCTACAATCTAAGTCAATGGTTACCGGTTTCTAACATTCTTCAAAATATCTTCTAAAAGAGAATCAACTAATTTCTAATAACTACTTTCTTTTGTCTTTGCCATGATGACAGGGCATACGATTTGACTTGTTTTTTTGGCAAGGTATTAATGTTAAAGGGCAATTTAAAGGCTTAACTAAACAATTTAGGTTAATTAGGCAAGTCATTGGACAGCAGTGGCTTGTTTTGTAGCCTATCAAAAAAATAATAATTTCTTAAGGAGGCTAATAATATTGATATTTAAATATATATATATTTCAGTCAATTTAAATGAAATAATACTTTCTCCAGAATAAATATGGTACAGGAACTACTATTAAAAATTCCTTTGCTCAGTTAAATATCACTTGGGAAATATTTGAAAATTAACTTTAAAAAATGGACTTTAACAGTATATGCATACATTTCAGCATTAGCATGAATCAAAACATTAAGCTGTTCTTTCCGATGTTCTCACCACTTTCTCAGCTCTGTCATCTCTCTCTTCCTCCCACTGGCGTCCCTTTTCGATCATGCGCTGCATCAGTTTTAAAGCGTTGACCTCTGTGTTGTCCTGCGGGTTCTCCTGTGTCATTCGTTCATTCATGAGCGCATACAGCCGGAGAGGCAGATGTTTGCTGTATCTCTCCAGCTGCAGATCCTGATCCGGGCTCACAGAGGTCACAGCATCGTCGTTTGAATCTTCTGATATGTCCTGGTCATCTGTGCTTTTTTTGCCCATTAAGTGTCCTGAAACAGACACCGCACATTACAGATTGATTGTTGCAATAATTTTGCGTAAAAGTGACTGAACAAGAACAGATCTGGCATTTTCATACTTAAAATGTCCATGAGTTATACAACTATTATGTGCAGAATTGAAATTAAAAGGGAGAGTTCACCCGAAAAATTTAATTCTGTCATAAATTAGTTTCTTTTTGTTTTTGGTGAACACAAATAGAGATATTTTGAAGAATGACAGAAACTGGTAACCATTGACTTCCATAGCTTTTCCTACTATGGAAATCAATGGTTACTGGTTTTTAACATTCTTCAAAATACCTCTTTTTGTGTTCAACAGAAAATGTAAGAACTCTTAACGCTTTAGAATCACTTGAAGGTGAGTAAATTGTAAATCTTAATTGTTGGGTGAACTCACTTTAACAATGCAGGTCACTATTAAGTTAAAAAGTAGTTCACACAATTAGTTTTATTCTGTCTGTATTTACTCACTTTTTACTTGTTCAAAATCTGTTTTCTGTTCTTGTTCAAAACCTTTCTTCTTTTAGACACAAAAGAAGTTATTTAAAAAAATGTTGGAAACAGGTAACTGTTGTCCATTATAATTTATTTCCTACTTTGGAAGTCAATGGTTACCGGTTCTGACATTCTTCAAAATATCTTCTTTTGTGTTTAAGAGAAAAGATGAGAACTCATAAAGGTTTGGAACAACTTGAAGGTAAGTAAAATGTGCGTAAATGTCATTTTGGGTGAATTATCCCTTTTACAATCCAATTTGGGTGATAGTACAACATTTTACTTATTCTGTCATTATTTACTCTCCTTTCACTTGTTCCAAACCTGTTTGAGTTTATTTCTTTTGTTGAACACAAAAATAAGTTATTTAAAACAATGTTGGAAACTGGTAACCATAGACTTTCATTGTATTTTTTTTCCTACTATGGAAGTCAATGGTAACATTCTTCAAAATATCTTTATTTGTATTAAAAAAAAAAAAGAACTCATAACGGTTTAGAACCACTTGAGGGTGAGTAAATTGTTTGTAAATTGTCATTTTTGGTTACACTATCCCTTTAACAATGCAATTTAAGTGATAGTACACCAATTTTTTTATTCTGTCTTTATTTACTCTCCCTTTACTTGTTCGAAACCTGTTTGAGTTTCTTTTTTTATTGTAGAACACAAAAGAAATTATTCAGAAAAATGAAAACCATTGACTTCAATTGTAAGTTTTGTTCCTACTATGGAAGTCAATGGTTACCGGTTTCTAACATTCTTCAAAATATCTCCTTTTGTGTTCAACAAAAAAGAAAAAAGCTCATAACGGTTTGGAACCACTTGGGTGTGAGTAAATTGTGTGTAAACCTTAATTTTTTGGGAGAGCACACTTTAACAATGCAGGTCACAGTTAAGTTAAATAAGTAGTTCACAGATTTTTGTTAATCTGTCTTCATTTATTCACCCTTTACTTGTTCAAAATGTTTTTTTCTGTTCAACATAAAATAAGTTATTTAGAAAAATGTTGAAAACCTGTAGCCATTGACTTACATAGTATATGTTTTTTATACTACTGAAGTCAATGGCTACCGGTTTCTAACATTCCTCAAAATATCTTCTTTACTGTTTAAAAAAAAAAGAACTCATAACAGTGTGGAATGACTTGAGGGTGAGTAAATTGAGCATAAATTGTCATATTTGGTTGGACTATCCCTTTAACAATGCAGTTAAAGCAACAGTTCACCTTTGTTTTTTATTCTGTTATCATTTACTCTCCCTTTACTTGTTCCAAAACTGTTTGAGTTTCTTTTCATCTTTTGAACAAAAAATAAAATTAGAAAAACGTTTGAAACCGGTAACTATTGACTTCCATTGTATTTTCTTTCCTACTATGGAAGTCAATGGTTAGCAGTTTCTAACATTATTCAAAATATCTTCTTTTGTGTTTAACTGAAAAAAAAACCCCTCATAATTAGTTTGAACCACTTGAGGGTGAGTAGATTGTGCATAAATTGACATTTTGGGGTGAACTATCCCTTTAAAAATGCAGTTACAGGGATATTTCACCAATGTATTATTTGTATTCTGTCATCATTTACTCTCCCTTCATTTGTTCCAAATCTGTTTGAGTTTCTTTCTTCTGTTGGACACAAAAGAAGTTAGTTGGAAAATGTTGTAAACCTGTAACTATTGACTTCCATAGTATTTGTTTTTCCTACTATTGTATTTTATGGTTACCAGTTCTAACATTCTTCAAAATATCTTCTATTGTGTTCAACAGAATCATAAGAACTCATAACTGGTTGGAACCACTTGAGGATGAGTAAACTGTTTAAATGTTCGATTTTGGGTGAACTATACCCATCAACAATGCAGTTAAATTAAATATATTTCATCAATTTATTTATTTTTATTCTGTCATCATTTACTCTCCCTTTATTTGTGCGAAACCTGTTTGGGTTTATTTCTTCTGTTGGACACAAAATAAGTTATTTAGAAAAATGTAACTGGTAACCATTGACTTCTATTGTATTTTTTTTTCCTACTTTGGAAGTCAATGGTTACCAGTTTCTAACATTCTTCAAAATATCTTCGTTTGTGTTCACCAAAAATAACAACAACAACAACAATAACAACTCATAATGGTTTGAAGCAAGTGAAGGGGAGAAAACTTTAATGTTAGATATGAAATGTAATCTGGACTACAACATACAAATAAATATATACATATTTGAGCCAAAAAATGTAATAAAATTTAATTAAATATATAAAATTGCTTACATTATACCTCATTTGTTCATTATATAACCCCAATAGAATTTATGCAATCTTAAATGTAAAAACCTGATATTGTTCCTCCTTATTATATAAATTCATCTCACACAAACAAAAGCCAGTGACCCGCCTCCTGTTTTCATCCAATTAAGACTCTGCTGTAAGTCTGCTCTTTAAACCCCATGAATCCACTTTTCCTCTTCAGTCTCGATGCTTAAATAACACTTTGCAATCACTTCAGACACAATCCTAATATATGCACTCAATAAACTTCCTCTGATACTTTCATCAGCTGATTTATATGATAATTATTGCCTAGTGTTATTGATTTCAGTGTAGATTATTGTGTTTCAGCCACAATCATTTAGTGCAGAACTTAAAAATTTTTTAAAAATGCTATTTGTTTATTATTATGCATATTATTTTTGTATATTTTATTGTCCATATGTTCATATTAATGCTTCATACTATACATGACCATGTTCTTCCACATGACTGCACTTAACCTATCAACTATTATTAAGCAGATAATTATATCCGAATTAAGCAAAGTTATAGTAATAATAATAGTGATCATTGGACCTCATTATCATTTCATTTCAAAAGCACACATTACTTCAGACATACAATTTTTGGTACTATTTATTTTAATATCTTTACATTTTGCAATCTGTTGCTGTCCCACTACTTGCATATATACATGTATATAATTATGTATATAAAATAAAATACAATACAACTAATTAATGCATTTCTAATAATGAATCAATAATAGAAAATACTGTTTAATATGTGTGTAAACAGTTAATTTAATTGTACATTATTAAGATTAAACTGATTATGTGGATTATATGGTTATAAAAGCTGTTATTATCCTAGATATAAACTATAATTGTCATAAGCTTTAATAAAGTCTCTTAAACTCTGCTTTTATTTGATAAAAAATACTACAGTATTATAAAATATGGACTATTTTCATACATTTCCCAATCATAATTATCAGCTACGTTAATCCAGCCTTCACCGTCACAACCGAAATCCTTTTAATATCCCAGTTTAAGTCATGTGAACTCACAAACTCAAGCATTAAACAAAAAAATGTGATTATTTTTGGTATTACAATAAAAAATAAATAAAAACAACCATCACTCACCAACAGCCCAGTGATTCCCGCGTGGATAAACTTTTCCGATTGGTTGTGCGTCTGATGCAAACACTTCACAGAGCACAACGACCAAAATGATGGACACGACGAATCTGTATCTCCACACCAGGCACATAGTAACGCTCATAATATAAAACGTCAGTAAGTACTCCTAAATAATACTTGCTC